ATTTTCCTCCCTCTTCTCTCCTGACTTTTATGGCAGGAACAAGCAAGCGGGCCCCCAGTTAACCATTCTCACATTTAAACCTGTCAACTATGCATCACTATTCTACATTTTAATTATGCTTTGATTTCTAGCTTGCGCAGATCCTGACAAGATATGTTTTTAATAGATTTATGACTATTAAGTTTTTTTTTAACCTACTGTATTTTGTATGAATGAGTCCCATATTTCATTATACTTGTCCATACAGTCTACATCTATAGGCAATCTGCTCATAAGTGGCAAGCAAAATTATTTGTTTAATCTCTAGCTCAGATAGTGGCACAAATAAGAGTTGTTTTTGTGTATCATCTAAATGTGGTAGGTTAATTTTATTTTAAAAAGCCTCTATATCTTCATTTGATACATCCTCTGGTTTATTATATAATTCTGAATAAAATTTTAAAAAATTGACAATTAATATCCATTGAAGTTTTATATATTTCATCTTTTTCACCTCTAATGATTGGAATATTGCCCTATCTTTTTTTGTTGTTTTGTTTTGCTTTAAACAATTAGCCAAAATCTTACTGGGTCATTCACCATTCTCCCAGTATCTCTGTCATAAACATGTTGGCATAAATTCTGTCTGCTGTGATATTATAGTTAATTCATATTTCGTTTTCTGTATTTCTCTGTACAAAACTGTAGATGGATATCTAACCAACTGTGCTCATAAATGTTTTCATCTTTCAAATTATTTCCTTTTATTTTTAATTTTATTTTTGTGATGCATAAGCAATAATTCTACCTCAAATTTATGCTTTATATGCCTTCCATTCAAAAATTTGGGCACGTGATGCTTCTGAATTCAAATCAAAATATTGTAAGGTCTCTACCTGCATTTGTTATCATTCAATAGAGAAACATTAAGATACCAATTTCTTGATACCTTAACCGGTTTCTGAAACACATATTTCAAGGTTGCTGCACTATGATCAGATACATAACAAACATCAGTGTTACGTTCTTGAATTTGATGATATAAAGTCAACAATATTATGAAATAATCAAGCCTAAAAAAATTCTGATACACATTTGAATAAAATGTATCCAACTAAAAGAGAATATACTGTATTCTTCCGTCAATAAGACACCCCCATGTACAAGACGACCCCCACTTTTCCAACCCAAAATTAAG